GCAGAGATCCTGGGCCGGTGGCTGAGGTGGATCAGCAGCTCCGCGGCGGTGCCTGGCACTGCCACACGTCCCGGCAGGACAGGGGGTGCGAGGCCACCAACAAAGAGGGGAGAAGGAGAAGCAGCAGCAGCTCCGTCCGGGTGATGGCGAAATTCCCTTCTCCCCACCGCAGCAGCTCTGCCCCCAACGTGTCCTTCTCCAAAGCTGAAGAAAACCCACCAAACTGTCCCCACCCTCCTTTTTTCCTGCCCCCTTCCCCCCCCGGGCCCGGCCACTCTTTGTCTTTTGTCAAGCACTCACTAAGTACCCACAGTTAGGTTGTCCCCTCAACTAATGGGTAAAAATTCCACGGGCAAGCCAGAACTAAAAAAAAAAGGACACCTAACCCCCAACATTTGGCAATCTGTTGGCACTCTCCATGTTACTGAGGGAAAATTCCTGAAAAGGAGAGATGTAAAGGAGAGATGGGAAGAGACCTACAGAGAAAGGAGCAGAGTATATATCAGTGGCAGTGAAAAAGAGGTATCTGCATAAAATGAGAATCTACACTGAAGACAAACCAGTATCTACAAGATTGAAGTCACCAGACTTCAGCAGTAATAGAAGTCAAGCTCAACTAGATCTATCGAATTCAAAAGTATTCAGTATTTCTTATGAGTCAGGGCAGCATCTTACACTGGATTCATGTCACCTGACAGAATGTGAATGCTGGGATCATGATCATGTGTGCTCCCAGCAGAAACTAAGACAGTGGAGAGATTCCCAGGCACCAAGGCAGTGGCTGAGGGCAGTTTCCACCGGAAATGGAAGTGTTGAAGAAGAATAAGCCGCAGTCATGATTCCAGACCCTCAGAACATATTAGACTGAATACAGACAAGCTGCAGCTTTCAGAGAACAGTGACATCTATGAATTTGTCAGGAAAATTAATCCACGAACACCAGAGGTTTATGTCCAAAAAGGAGACAGAGGAGTCCTTTTTCTTTATTCGAATACAGGGAGAGGCCATGGGGCATTCCCCTGGGGTCTCTCAAATTTTTGGAGGGCGAAGCCTCCTTTTTATCCTAATTCCCGGCCGCTTGTCCCTTCTCTCTTTCCCCATAGGCTGAGGTACTTGAGAGGTACAGGCTTCCCAGAACGCCTGATACCTGGGATACCTTTCCCCCCCCACGCATAATCCCTTCTTAATTCTTAACTTTTGTGGAATTCATGATACTCTTTCAGTGCCTCTTTGATCTTTCAGTGGAATCTATCCCATTGTTTCTGTTGTCTCTCGCTGATAGCTGCATCTTATCAGCAGACCCACAGCTTGTTTGTAAAGACAAACTCGTCATTCCTCTCAAATTCTTCAGTGTTTCTAGTTATACCTCAAAAACCTTAGAGCCATGAAGGAAATGTCCAGAACAAAAGTAGTGAAGGATTTCTTGTGGTTCATAGAGAAAAACTACTAGATTCTTCTTTTTGTCCTCCTGCTTCTCAGGACACAAGAATTATTGAAGAAGTTATCAAACAGAGACAAGATTTGGCAGCACTCAGGGCCCCATGTGATAGGATAAAGGCAATCCAGTGCAGGGAACCATTCCCAAGTTGCTATAAACCCCTGGAACAGACAGAGCCCCAGAAAGCTTGGACCTTGCTGCAAAGTCCGCACCTGGAGCACTTCCTGGTGCAGCCCTGACACTACTGGGTTGGAGCCAGAAAAACAAGATGCTGCTGCTCCTGCACAGGGGTTGGGACAATGCCAGCGTGTCACTTTGGGGCACAGCATGAAGATGCAGTGTGAGCTCCAGCACAAGGAGAGCATGCTAAGGAAATGCTGAGTGCTCCTGGAAGCTCTCTGGATGTGTCGATAAAGGCATGGAACTGCTTTGTGTCCAGAGTGTGCAGCTCTGCTGGGAGGAAGAAGGAGCACTGGCACTGCCTGTCTTGTTACCAGGCAAAGGTTTGAGTGTTTGTGTCTCTGTGTGCGTGCACACGTGCAAGATGGGATTTTATTTAAAGCAGGACAAGCAGTAATTTCTGAGGATAAAAGAGCTGCCATGAGGAAATTAATAACTTCATACCTAGGGATAGAGGGTGCTTTATTGGAGCCAGACTATTCTACTGGCCAAGCACCACTGTGCACTTCAGAGCATATCAGGGTAAGCACTGATCAGTTGGAATCTTCCTGCCATTCCAAGACACCTTTGCAAATGGCCATTTTTAAAGACAGGATGGTCAGCCTTCTGGGAGCTGGCTCTGGAGAAAGCACAGTCAAGAGCTGATCAGGAGTGGAGTGTTGCCTTCTCACAGTCTGAGAGGCCTTGCATGCCCTGCTTTGACACGGCTCGTAGCACTCTGCAGCAGAATTTGTGCCATTCAGCACTTCACAGGCCAGATTTGAGCACCAGATGTCTTGCCATGGGTGTCAAAAATGAAGAAGAGCAAGAGCAAACAAAGTTAGCAGCATAAACAGTGCTGGGACTGACAGTGAAAACAAAGCAGTCAGGAAAGCGATCCTTACCTGGCTAAGCTGGGACCCAGCAAAGCTTTTTCCCTAGGACTGAACAGGGAATGCATCCACTGAAGGAAATGTGTGGAGGAGGGTGGGCTGCAGTCCAGCAGTCAAGCTTTAGAATCAGTTACAGTAAACAAGACACTCACAATAAAGAAATGGAGAAAACAGAAGGTCATTCACATCTGCCTCTCAAAGTGGAGCAGATACAAAGATAGACAGAGAGCAGCAGCACAGGTAAGGCCAACGGGAAGCAGCTGCAGCCTGGCAGGGATCATAGATGGCAGCTACAGTGACAGGACAGTGCTAAAGGAAGGCTAGAGGTAGCTGCAGAGCTGGGAGAAATGTCATGACACAGGCTGAGCAGAGACCAAACCAGAAAACATCAGTACCAGAGTGTTTGTGCAGCAGAACCGCACCAGTGGGAAATGGGGTAATGTAAAAGTTATGAGGGCAATCAAAAGCCTGGCAATAAGGGGGTCCTTATCTCTTGGAGGGACTCAGGATCTTCTGCCCCAGCTCTAAGCCTGTAGAATTGTGGGCAGTATTTTCTGCCCACAAGAGCAGAAAATACTGAGCAGGTAGTTGAAGTGTCTGTGGCAGAGGGCTGGAAATGCTGCCTGCTACTGCGGTCCTTCCTTGATGAAAATTCCAAGTGCAGGTTGCTTTGCAGAGGTGCTTTGATGGCAGGGCTTCCTCTTGCATTATTTTCAGCATGCAGGAGAGGCAAAAATGCTTTACAAGGTGTGTTTCAAACATACACTTGTCTTAGAGCCCAAATTTAGAGTTACAGTTGCATGTCCTCTTTCAGGAGCAGGGTTCTTGCTGACCTGCCTGCCCAGAATGTTTCTTGTCTGCTGGAGAGACAGCTCAACTGAAGCAGAAGCAATTATTTACTGAAAAAGAAAGAACCTGAGTAAACAAAAACACCAGCGGCTACTGCATATTAAAGTGAAAGACCCAGATGCTTTGAAGCCTTGTCCTCAGGTGATTTTAAGTGCTTCAGAATAATTCTAAGTCTTACCCAAAATGAAGGCAGTGAGGCACCCATCAGACACTACCAGGCCATCAATGTCCCATCTTTTCTGTGCCTTGGGCACTGCTGTTGTTCCAGCTTCTCAGTCGTGCTTTTTTGTGTCTTGTCCTATTTTATATCTGGGCCAGGGTCTGCTCTGGACTCGAGAAGTTTGTGACCTATTCCCTTTCTGGAGCCTCCTCTGTGCTGGCTGTGATAGGAACTAGTGGTCTGCTTCCTGTTGGTTGTATTCCTTAAGTGCTTGTTAGATTGTAGCTCTTGAGTTTTGAGCATCTCTTTTTATGATTTATTTTCACTGGAAGCCTCAAAATCAAGTCTCATGGTGTCTAAAAAGCCACTGAGTGCTTAGTGAGCACATTGCAGTAGGGCCATTACACTTCAGACAAATCTCTCCCTATGTGGCAAGTTGCTGATTTATTTACAAATTGCTTGCCTTTAGAATTTCTAAAGCTTTTGTCCCATTATGTCCCACTTTTCAAATCTTTGTGCATTATGGAGGAGAAGAGAAAGGACATTCAGCTGCCTTACCTCCTGTGTCCAATTGCCTTAAGGCAACAGTCAGAGAGTTAATATTCAACACTTACAGCAGTATTTTCTGACTTCAGCAGTGTCTAAGGACTGATCACAGGATAATGACTCCATTATACTGTGTAGCAGAGAAATACTATATTGATAGTGTGAGGCATGCCAGGAAGAACCTTTCAACAAGGGACAGGCAGTGAGTGTGGAAAGATGGATGTTGTAGGGCAAACGTTACAGCACAGGGCAAAACACCTTGCCAGCAGCTACTTCCAAATATTCTGCTAACAACAGTGTGTCTAAGAGGTGAAGACACACACTGGGATGCTCCAAATCTGAGTCAGAGTATCAGACCACTGTTCTTGCCCAGTCTTACCAAATATCTGCTTCCTACACTCTGATATGTGCTCTGGAGCAAGTAATCAGTGTCAAAGCCACATTCTCAAAGCAACAGAACCCTTGGCAGATATCTCAGCTGCTGGGATGTGTGGCAGGAATGAGCAAAACCTGCTTGTGGAAGGAAATTTGCTGTCTGCCTGAAACCTCAAAGTGATCCATGTTTAATCATTTTGATTCAGAGCCTGTCCTAATCATGGTCTTTGATTTCCCTCACGCTTACTGATACAGTTTAAAAACATAAACTGGTGGTTGTTTGTTATAGTCCGCAACCTCAGGATCTCATCCAGGGAAGCTGCAGGGTTCTGGGGACCAGCATGGAACACCAACCGAGATGGGCTCCCGTTCATGAAACCATTTATTCAGCATGGGAACAAACTCAGGTCCAGAACAGAGAGCCCCGAATAGAGGCACAGCAGGGGCTTTTGAGAGACAGAACTCCGGAGGGTCTCCACCTTTGAGGGTGGAGTTCAGGGTCAGGGACCACAAGAAACACAACAAGGGAGAAACCCCCAGGGACTCAAACACAGTCAGAACTCCTGGGCCGCCCTTCACAAGGGGTTTGGGGTGGGACAATGTTATGTAAAAAGTAACCCTTTGCCTCCCCAGGCATGTCACAACATCTGCTAATTTTTTTCAAATTTTAATTAGGAGCTTAAAATGTTTTTCAAACTTACACCATAAAATCTCACCTCCTCCACAGAGCACCCGCTTTGCTTTGTGGGACGCTAAAACTCAATAACAAAACACATTAAGCAAACAAACAAACAAAAAAAAATTAAAAACAAACACTTAAATCTCGAACCACAGCCGGACAAATTAAACAGTGATGGTATTTAATACAAATATAATGTTTTTTTAGTTCAGTCTCTTCCAGTTTAGGATTCTCTTTTAGGAAGGGTACAGCTCTTAGATCTCCTCTCACACGGGGCAGAGTTCTTCGATCTCCAGTTTCGGCTCTGGTTCCCATGTGGGCGTCGCCCCTTTAGATGTTCTCGGTGAAACCCTGGCTTTCGACCTCAGGTTACAGTTTCGATCTCCCAGGAGGAAGTGTTGCCCACGATGGAAAAGGCACAGCCCCCAGGGGTGGAGCAGCCGAACAAATGGCTGGGAGTGAAGCAGGAGTTACTGGGGGAAGGGAAGGTTCGGGACCGGAAAAGACGGAGCAAGGCGGGAAACAAGGGATCCCAGACCGCATGGCCGGCGCCATCTTGGAAAGGGGGGGGTGGTCCGGGACGGACTTTTCCAGACCGGGAACGGGGAATGTGGCAAGACAGGGGGTGAAGGAGGACACGGAACAGCGGGCAGACGGCAGCAGACCCGCACCACTCTGGATGTTCTCCGTCCCTTGCCTGCCTTCAGGAAAACAGGGGATGGGATGGCAAAAGACACCGGGGTGACGGGGAGACGGCAGCAGCCCCGAGCAATCTTGGCTTTTCTCACCCTTTGTCCTGCCCTTAGGAGCATAGGAGAGGGGAAGGTACAGGTAGGTAGACACAAAAAAAATATTAGGAACTTCACAGAAGACAAAAAACAGTTCACAGGAAGGGCCATACTGTCCATAATCATCCATAATTATCCATAATGTTAATATCGTCCATAAAGGTCCTTCCCCCCCCAAAAAACCAAAACCATCCGTAATACATCTCGTTGGGTGATGTTAAGATGTTTGTCCCAGTGTCTGGTCTCTCGGCCCCCCCACCTCTGTAAGCCCTTTTTCCCCATGCCTCTGAGGCACTCTCAACGTGGCCTTCCTGCCAGGTCTCTCGAGTCCTCCTTTCTAAGGCAGGGGTCTCGCCGGCTCTCAAGCCATCAGCCGGGGACTTACAGGGTGTCCATGGAGCTGGTCCTGCTGTTCTGGTGCTTCACTGGATGCCACGCATTCTCCACCATTTCTTGCAATCCACAACTTCAGGATCTTGTCCAGGGAAGCTGCAGGGTTCTGGGGACCAGCATGGAACACCAACAAGACGGGTTCCTGGTTCATGAAACCATTTATTCAGCATTGGAACAAACTCAGATCCAGAACAGAGAACCCTGAACAAAGGCAGAGCAAGGGTTATTGACAGACAGAACGCCCGAGGGTCTCCACCTTTGAGGGTGGAGTTCAGGGTCAGGGACCACTAGAAACACAACAAGGGAGAAACCCCCAGGGACTCAAACCCAGTCAGAACTGCTGGGCCATCCTTCACAAGGGGTTTGGGGTGGGACAATGCTTATCTAAAAAATAACTCTTTGCTTCCCAAGGCACTTCACAGCAGTTGTTCTTAAAAACATTAACTGTTTCGCAGTTTAAAAACAAGAGCTGGTGCTTGCCTCACGAGCCAACATTTTACCTATGGAAATCGCCATGGCCTGGGTGAAGTGAAAGGAATCTCACCTACCTGCAAGGACAGGTAATACCCAAGCACCCAGGCCTCCAGTGTCGTGGCATATTTTACACATGGCAAGTCCATCCCTTTTCTCCTGTGAATGAATATGGATTTATTTAGAATTCCCAAACTATAGGTGGATTTCAGGTTCCCTTATGAAAATTTTACCTAGAGCTGCCTGAGGTCACTGTATGTGGTTCAATGAAGCCAATTTCCCACAACAACAGAGCAGTAGAAAAGCAATTATGATGTTTTGTTTGATTGACAAAAAGAGCTAGAAATATAATCATTAAGAAGCAGTATCAGATGATATCTTCATCTGGAACACTATTTCTATGTTTAGGCATCTTGTGTGTTGTGGGGAAAAGGCAGAGATTGAAAATGCATTAACTATAGCAGCTAAAGATGGTGAATGGCATAGGGAAAAAAAAATGAAAATGTGTAAAAATAATGTATTTCAACATAAACCAAAGCCTTCTTTAATTGGTTTATGGAATTTATTATATTTATCAGAAATCATGAGTAGTTTCAGGTTATCCCCAGCTGTGGACTTTTAGAGTTAACCTTATTAAAAGAATGATCACCCTTCTAGCACACGGGTATCTGTGACTGTGCATATCTCATTGGATTGCTACCAGCTGGAAAATCAGAGCGTGTAGGAGAACTCTGACCTCTGTACTGCAAAATTGGAGAAAACAATCAACTGAAGGAGATAAAGGAGAATCCTCCTCATTACAGAGGAAGTGGTACAGAAATCAAATTCACTTGTGCAAAGATTCACTTTGCCAGCTAGCCCACCAAGGCAAAGAACTCCAGCTACTCAGCCAGCCACAGGGAGGATCTGGGAATTTTAACTCGGAGCATTAAATTAATCAGAGCTCTGTTAGGAGTTGGCACAGCAGGGGTTGGAGAGCCCATTTGCTGTGGAATTCTGTTTGTGGACGAGCTGTAGGAGCAGACCAGGCTGCTCTTTCATTCTAGCCGGTGAAACAAAGGCATCCAGTAACATTAGCGCCGAGTAAACACAGAACAATCAAAGGAGCTATTTTCTCGCACTGTATGAAAGTCACCACTGTATTCAGGACAAGCACAAGTCATATGTTCCTCTTAAGTCCTACTTAATCCCTGCTTTGAGGATTTAAAGGACATTCAAGTGATTCATAAACCTTGTGCGTGTTTTCTGCACAAGAATAATTTTTACCCATCACAGACAGCTGAGCCATGGGAAATTCTGCAGTGGGTCTCATCAGTGGAATAATGCTCCTGTGTTCAGGAAGGTCTGGCTGGGGCTCTGTCTCACTTGCAGCTGTAGCTTTAACATCTGACATCCTGATAATCCAAACTTCTGGTTTATGATGTGCCTTGATTGCCCACGGGGTTCTGCAAGTAATGTATGTGTCTTACCGGCATCATTACATATCTGGCAGGGAAAGTAAGTCAAGGAGGAGCTTTGCATCAAGCACAAGCCAGGAATAAAGGAAGGAGGTCTCTTCTGACAGTTTATTGATCTGAGCCAGCTTGACCAACTTCCTGTTTTCTAAAACAAGAAAAGGATAGAAAAATATTTTCTTGTTTTCAGATAATATGTTCAGCTGGAAAATGGGCTGAAATCAGCAAGATGATGCCTAAATATTGCTGCTTTTGAAAGTAACAACCAAACTGTGACAGATGGCTTCAGATACCTTTTGGACAGTGCATGTGAATTTATTTTTTGCCTGGGTTTTTGGTTTATGCCTTCTTGTGGTGATCTGTTCTTGTTCCGCTTGCATTTTTATTTTTTTTTTTTCAGGTTCCTTGGCAGTGACTCCTGCATCTATCACAGCTCCATTCTGCAGCACAAAGGAGATTATTCAGATCTATAGTTCTGTCAAATGACACTCCTTAAGATATTGTGTAAGCTTAAAAGGTGAATTTATGCTCTGGCTTATATACCTCTTTATGCCTGAGGCACTTTGATGTATAAAAATATTTCAATAAAAGCAAATAAACACATACACCCACCACTTGCTGGGGCCATGAGCTCTGAGAGTTATTTTGTGTTTTGTTATTAACCTCCTTTCTTAAATGGAAAAAGAAAATTAAGAGAGACTATTTACAAGGGCCTGGAGTGACAGGGTGAAAGGGAATGTCTTCACACTGACAGGAGTACGGTTAGACTGAATATGAGGAAAAAAATTCTGTGATGGTGGTGAGGCCCTGGCACAGGTTGCCCAGAGCAGCTGTGGCTGCCCCATCCCTAGAAGTGTTCCAGGGATGGGCCAGGCTGGATGGGGCTCTGAGCAACCTGGTCTAGTGGAAGGTGTCCCTGCCCATGGATCTTTAAGGTCCCTCTCAACCCCAGTCATTCTATGAGTCCATAAAATTCAAACACATTGCAAGAAGCAGAGAAAAACTGGTATTGAAAAAGTATGAGTGACAAACTCTGGCTAAGGTAATCTTCTTTCTCATCCACATAATAAATCCTAAAACCTGGATAAAGTTCTAGAGGCTGGATTCTAGTCCCAGAAACCTGTTTCTCACTTGTGACCCTTAGCAGCAGCAGTGTTAGCTTGGTCCACACACTTTTCTTCCCTTCCCATTTTTATCTTGCCTTTCCCATGTAGACAGTAGTCTCTGTGGAGCAAGAGTTTGCATGTCCATGTGTTATGTAATTCAGGTGGCTCTGATCCTGAGCCAGTAGAAAAATATAAAAATCTCCAGTTTGACACTCCAGCAACACAGCTGGAAGGTTGAGAGGGAGCAACAGTACCATTTGTTTCCAATGGAGCATGAACTCTGGCTCTGTCCAGCTTTGATAGCTAAAGGAAAGCAAGCTTTCCCAGGTCCTTTCATAATGCTTCCCCTGCTGTGCTGTTCTTTTTTGCTCCTAGATAGTTCCCAGCTGTGGCAGGAACTCCCAGCTCTCTGTCCCTGCTGGGGAAAAATGGTGCTCCCTGCTAGCAGAGGTGTCCTGGATGCAATTATAAACCAGAGGGATCTCCTGTGGCATGAGGAATTTTGCATTTACTCTGGATATTTAGCAAGAATGAGTGATCCAAAGCTTGCTGGCCCCACCACTGCCCTCCTTTCCTTCAAAGCCACTCTTGAGTATAACTCCAGCCCCCTCCTATAACTCCATCTTCCACGCTGGAACACCTTTGGCTTTGCAGCAGATGGCAATGCAGCACTGCCCACTGCCAAGATGAACCAGTACATTTTCCCATTGTCTGCATCTTACAAAGAAGCAGCAGAAAAGCAGGGAAAAAAAGCCCACTTGGAAGCTGATCTGTGGCAGGTTATCTCCTGTTGTGGGGCTCTCAGCAATATGAGCACACCGATTCAAATAACTCAGGAATAAGCAAACAGAGAAGTCCAGAAGACAGCTGGCCCTTACTGACAAGGTGGACATAGTCCTGAAGGCAATCTATGGAGTCAGCTAAAACATGGCCAACCTCAGGTTCCTAAACAGCTCAGGATTTTCCTGTGGTTTTCCCACAGGAGGGGCAGAGAATGTCCCCTCGGTGCAGCATTGAAATGGAACATTTTCTTGGCATTGTACCGTTCCTATCTGTTCCCTCCACCCACTTTCATCACATTGTGTCTCAGCATTAGCCTGGCTTTTGGGCACGTGTTGCTCTGGAATTAAGAGCTTGAGTTTTCAGCAGATTAGTCCAATGGACTTTATGTTGTGACAAAAACAGAAGCAACCGTCAAATGGGGAACCAGGTATCACAACAAGGAATACACAAGATATCCATGAGTAGATTTAGTTCAATTAAAAATACCAGTTTTATTTCTCATTCCATCTATGTGCTTTTAATAATTTCAATAAAGGCAAATCAAGAGCTTTCAACTTGATCAGGCCCACACTGAGTTTAAACCCAAATTTTATGAAGGAAGAATTTTGCAATTTCCTATTTTTTGGAGCTAAGTGGCATTTTCCATGGTCCACTGAATATCTTCAAAATAACAACCGAAGCTTCATAAATACAAGCACAGCCTTCCTTTCCCTCTGAAGCTCTGAATCTCTCTTAGACAATAAACAGGGATGGACACTTCAAGATGATGATTCCCGTTCCAAGACCTGAAGAATTTTACAGAAATCCCTCTTCCTGCTCTTCTGCCTTGGGACTGTGGCAGAAGGGATCGGTGGAGCCAGATTCAAGCTCTTAGTGCAGTGCAAAGCTGAGGTTCTGATAGACTTGTTCCTCACTGAGGATGCCAGAAGAGTGAAAAAATGGGTCAGGAAGTTCAGATACACCCTCAAGGAGCCTCCAGCAGCAGGTAAGTGAGCACTACTAAAAGACAGAGAGCATCATTATTTTCCAGAGAGCTTGACAAAGTTTTCAAAGAAAGCAGCATTTCTGATACTATGTAGAGTAAATGCAATGCTCTGTTGTAAATCAAACTAGGCAAGAGATGCCAACATTTCAACATCCCCTCCCAAAAAAAGTTCATGCATTGAAAACAAACAGGAAAAAGAAAGGGATATGAAAGTATCATAGCTAAAATGTGCCTTTCATCTTCTTGTGTCAGAATCTTAGTTATTACAGATCAGCATTGTGCTATCCTGCTGCATACCTGTGAAACATCCATAAGGAACTTTTTGGTTCAACTTGAAAACAAAACTCAACAAAAAAACCCCATGCAAACTATTTCCACTAAGTCCAAGGAATCATTTTGTATTTCCAAATGCACAGAAAACTCAAGTCACTTGAAGTCAAAATTACCTTTCCCAACCCAATGCCATTCATTTAGGCTCTGCAGTGTTTTTGCTGAGCTGTGCTGGAGTTTTGACTTGTGTAAATGAGGATTTTCGTGCCTATGCTTGTCCATGCAACAGAAACAGCAGGCAGCAGTGTGTACCTAGAAAAAACTGACCTAGCTGAGAAGTCGAAGCTGATGATCTTGGAGTACAAACCTGAGAAGTTAAGGAAAGAGAGTGTTTTCCTGTGCTGCTTTTACTATGGGAAAAACAAGAGCAGAAATTCAAGGTAGACAGCTGGAAGTGCATATCAAAACAGCAGTTAAACTCTCCAAAGGTTCCACAGTACAACAGCATTTTATTTTCCTGAGCTGCAAGAACCTGCTGGACACAGAAGAACCTGTGTGGGTGAACACAAGCATTCACCATCTTTATGTAGATAAAAAGACAGTGCAAATTCCAGGAGAACAGGCTTCAGTAATGGTGTCTTAGACAAGACTCAGTGAAACAGAAAAGTGAGGACAGAAATCTGATGATGAAATTCTAAAGATTTATCTTTATCTCAGTGCATCAAAGATTGACACAGTTCAGATACCTCAGATCCTTGGAGACAGGTATTTTACTAAATATTTATTGGAACTTCTGTCTCCAGCTACCACTGTGCAATTGTGGGGTTTTTCCCCTTCTCAAATCTGTTATCCCAGAGGTGCTGATGCTATCCCTGATGGGCTCAGCCTTGGCCAGTGGCAGATCCATCCTGGAGCCACCTGGAATAGGCTGTGTTGGATATGGGGGAACCTTCCAGCAGCTTGTTACCCCTGCTACCAAAGCTGTGCCCTGTGAACCCAATGCACCCCAAAATGAGAATAACCACAGTGAGATGTTGTATATTTTTCTCAAACCTCCTCTGTGTATTTTTAAGGCTTAAATTAAGGTGATTTTAGAATATTACCTGTTCAAGGTAAAGCTGGGAATGGCTTCCCTGCCAGAAGCAATTTGTGTTAAGCACATTCTTTAAATGCAGGGCTGGCCTTTAGGGATCTGCTTGTATGATGCAGATGTGCAAAAGGGGATGTGGAAATTGGAAAAATCCTTTCACACAGGCTCTTCATTTGAGCTTTCTTGTCCATAGAGAGCAGGGGTGCAAGGTTCAGTGGCCTAAACTTAAATTGTACTTTGGAGTATTTTGCCGTGTTACATTTTTTTTCTGTGACTTTCCCAAGTAGATGTTATATGTCAAAATATGATCTCAAACAGGCTTATTTGCCTCAAAGTGTTACCTTCTGCTAGCCAGGATTGCTTCATAATTTTCAATCTAAACCTGCTCTTGGTCAGTGTGAAGCCATTGGAAGTCATATCAGGGCATCCTACCATAGAGAGAATTACAAAATATGGCATGTAATGTTTATCCAGTCACAGCCAAAATAACACACTTTAATTCACAGGGAAACTCACTGAATCACTGTGGGATGACACAAAAAAAAAAGAGTGGTGAAGATGGCAACTGCAGAAAATGTCTACTGGTTTACTAGGAGAGGAAAAATGAAGAGGAACTATTTACAAGGGCCTGGAGTGACAGAAAAAAAGAGAATGGCTTAAAACTGACAGAGAGGAGTTTTAGACTGGATATCAGGAAGAAATTCCTCCCTATGAGGGTGGTGAGACCCTGGCTCAGGTTGCCCAGAGAAGCTGTGGCTGCCCCATCCCTGGAAGTGTCCCAGGCCAGGCTGCGTGGGACTTTGAGCAGGGGGTTGGAACTGGATAATATTTAAAGTTCATCCCAACCATTCTGGGAAAGTGGTTCCAGGTGGTAAAACCACATCTGCCCACCACCCCCTCAAGCCGTAATTTGAATGAAACAACACAGGCCAAACATTGCTTTAGCCTTTTGCTCTTTGGATAATATTGCCCGATCTCCCAGGCTTGAGTGTAAAGAGCTTAGCTCTGCAGCATTATTGTGACTAATCTCATCAGAGACTGCTGTGGCAGCCAGGCTCCCCTTAGACAGATGATGGGGAGGATCTCAGGGAATAAGGGAAAGGCAGATGGGGAAGCCCTGTATAAATCATAAAGAATATGAAATAAACATTCAATAGCTCAATGAAAATCCCAGATTAAAAACCAAAAATAAAATAAAAAAAACATGTCTAATTTCAGGCTGATTTGCACCTAAAAATATCCTAAAAATATCAATAAAAATAAAAATAAAATATAAAATATAAAATATATAAATATATAATTATAAAATATAATTATAAAATATTTTAAAATATAAAATATAAAAATAAAAAAATTAAAATAAAAAAAATATACCTAAAAATATCAAAATCCCATTTTCATTCTCTCACAGACTGAGGGAATGCAGATCTGTATCAGAAGAATCAAATGTTTGCATGAACCTATATGGGACATTTCCATGGTTGGAAAGTCCAGTTCCATTGCTGGACTTTCCATGAGTTTAAAATCCATTTTACACTTCAGAAGTACTATATTAGAAGTGGCAAGTTCACCAAATAATGTGACTCCATCCTGAAAATTAATTTGTCCTCAACCTCAAGGCAGCAAAGTTACCTTAGGAAAAGATTAATTAAAATAAGACTTTATTTTTATTTTCCTTCTCTCAGGAAAAAAGGAAAAAATCTCCTGGCTGGAAATAATAGGATAAGAGAGGATGCCTGGCTTAGGCTGTGATGAAGACCCAAAAAGCTAGGACATTTCAGGTTTTCCTATGGTTTCCAACAGAGACCAAGAAAGAAATTTGTACCGTAGGAAGGGCCAAAAGGATAGATCCAGCCCAGAGGGATAGATGGGAAGAGACCCCGGGCAAGATTATGAACTTCCAAGAGAGAAAAGTGTAGTGCTGGAAATCTGCTGTAACTGTTCTGTGACTACAAGCTTCCATTGTCATGCAAAATGTGCTTTCTCCAGTGATTTTAATTTGTATGCAAGGAGCTCAACTGTTAAGGCATCATTTTCTTAGCAAAAAAACCCAAAACCAACAAACAAACAAACAACAACAACAACAACAAAACAATCTTATGGAAAACTTGGGTTTCTGGAAGTATGTAGGCACTGAAAAAGGATAGTCACGAAGACTGGACAAAATCACATCATGATCTCAATCCACAGATAGGCCTAATCTTTGTCAGGTCTGTTGCAAGACGTCAGAAGAACAGGGAGAGCCGGCTGGGAAAACATAAAACTGCCTGAAAAAATACATTTATCCACTCATATCTGCCCATCCATCCATTCATTGATCTTGACAAGACATGCTTTCAGCTTCCTTTCTTTCCCCCCTCACATATCAATCCAGGCAGTTACTGGACACGATAATTACAGTAAGCTCTTCAATTCCAATAAATACTACCAAGCCGGCTACTCAAAAGGCTTCCATGCTATCAACTTTTTAACACAGTAATGATGATTAGACTGTATTGCATCTGAATACTTTTAGAGGTTTACCCCTTGATTAGACTTAGGGAGAGGGAGGAAATACTATTAGAAATTGGAAGGAGATATTTCAGCCTGGAAAAATGTTGTTTTCAAATTTTGACTTTCAGAGCAGTGGCAGAATAATAAACATGTAAATGTTCCTAGTTTTAGGCTCTGGTTTTCTTGCAGTGACAGAGAAACGATGCCTCTACTGCTGTGAGGGCTCTGGAATAGCCAGTGCTGTGGAAACTTAGTTTATCACTGGCTAACCCATGTCCTGCATTATGAGCTCGATTTCTTAGGCTGTACTTGCAAAACGGCCAAAAGCTTGGCTTGCTACTCATGGTTGTGCCTGAATTTCATCACCCAGCATCACCAGTGGAAATGCCCAAGGTTTTCACTACGAAGAGCAAAATCAGAGCCAGGGTGGGGGACAGTAGAAACAAAATCAGGGATGTAGCACCTCCCACCCTCCACCTGCATGTTGCCCAGGCATTGCCTCAGAGTTACATCAGTCCTACCTGCCTTCTCTCTCCATCCCACCTGGGCCAGGAAAAATCACGCACCTCCCTGCACAGGTCACCATAAAGTTTAGGAAACACAGATTAGTTCCTCTTCTGGCCTAAACTCACAGAGCTCAAATGCTTCCTCTGAGGGAAATGCCTTCTGAATCTCAAATTTCTCATGATTCAGAACTTACTCAGAGCCCTTCTTTCCAGCACATCTCACAAAAGGCACCATTTCATTTTGCTGCCTCAAGATCTTTCTACTCTGAAGCAGCAGAGTAGGACTGGGATGAGGAGGGAAACACACAAGATAAGTGAACATTTGGCAGTCCAAATGACTGAAAGGGGAGGAAGGGATCCTGGCACGTGGCGAGTCAAGAAAAAAGAAAGTCAAGAGTCAAGAAAAAATCTAGGAAGTGTTGATAGAACTTCACTTGGGAGGAGTATGCTCTGGGTAGAGAAGGCTTTCAGGGGACCAGCAGCATTGAAGGGGCTATGAAATCTTTAGAGCACTTTGGGTGAGTAGAGTGAAGCAAGATTCATCAGATCCTCCTCCCAAATCCAGTAAGATCCTCCACAAACTCTTACAGAATCTGAATACCAACAAATACATCAGAACCAGGTGATTCACTCCATTTTGTTTGCTGTAAGTGCTGTGAAATTTGTGTACAGCAAACAGTGATTCACAAAGGATGAGTAAGGCCCAGCAGTCTGTGCCAAGAGCATAGAAAGTGGAAACCTGCCAAGGCCATGGCAGTCCATATGTTCCCTGTGTTACAGTACTGGAGTGACATGCCAATCCCTTTTCCTTCTTGTTTTCCATTGAATCTTGCCCAGACTCCTGGCGATAATCAAGGCCCATTGGATGCCCAGGTCATTTTGTACCAAGACACAGCCTCTGGTTCTGGGCAGAATTGCTTCTGAAGGGTAAAAAAAACAAAATATCGTCAGTACTGTAGCTCATGGTAGAAATTAAGGCTCTAGTTCTACACAACACTGAGGAGGACAAAAGACTTTAGACAACAAGCCCTGTTACTATCTAGGAACAGCAATATCAGATGACTGCAAATGTGTATGAGAGGCACCAAATGAAGGAGACCAAAGATATGTCAGCAGAAGAGGAAATCAGTTGAAAGGGCCAGTCTCAATTTCTTCAGCAAACTGCAATTCAAAGTCTTGATCAGTGAAGTTATAAAAAGGTAGATTTTGATATAGAGTTTATTTTATATACCTGATGACTGGTCTACAAAAAGAATGTTTATGTTTCTACAGCTTTGA